AACAAATATATTGTTAAACATATTAGCACATGCCATGAAGCCAAGTCCAAGCACTTCCTGAAGAACAAACCCTGAATCTTCTACTAATCAGTTCAGACTACAACTTAAAATTATTCCCCAGCTCAGTACAGAGTGACACAGCATGAAGAAAATTCATAATGAAAAGCTTGATGATAATGAATGCATACAACAGATGACTCTTTACAGAAGAAAGCTGATCTCATAAGAAAGCAGAAAACAAAAACTACTTACTATTTTTAAACTCCAGTAAAAGTAATGTTTAATGAGAGGGTTTTCTCAGATAGAAAAAGCGTCAGCTGAGAACTCTGCACTGCATCTTGAACTCCTCCCTTGCTTTTAGCAGCTGTCTTCAGAGACTGTGCTTGTTTCTCTAAATCCACTCGTGTGCACAGGTGCAGAGGCCTAGGGCACTGCACATCCCTAACGACTCTAGCAGATGGGACTCACCTCAGCCAATAGCACAGATTATAGTTACTGGACACACACTCAGCCAATTAAATGCAAATAAGAATTACATTATGTGCCAAACCCAAGTCTTCTCAGAGACATGGGAGAAAGAGGCATCTCCTGCTTCTGCTTTGCTTTTTATTAATTTGTTGCTGGACATCTTCATGTTTGATTTGCAGACAATAGACCGGGAAAACACGTCAAAGATTTAAGAGCCTTTGGAGTTGACTATTCAGATAATATTCAGGACAGCAAAATACCTTATCTAAACTAAATAGCATTTTGGTGTACTCAGTTTTTCAAAAGACATGCTATTAAAACAGAGTCTTCCCTCGTGCAAATTTTATGGGTGCAAGACTGAATTACCGTAAGACTATTTAAAGTTAGCTGAAAACATACCCACATATTCCCAACAAAAAAAATTCAGATGGCTTTGGAAATTCTATTTTTATCCTTGACTACGTCAGTTACACAGAAAGATAAACTCTAACACCTCCTTAGGCATTACTGCAGTCTTCATGGGCAATAATCTGTAAGCTTAAAAGGTCTGAGAAGGGTTTATTGTGGACTAAAGGATCCAAAGAACCTACTATTTAAGAAGCCAAAAATCCATAACATGCATTTACAGTCATTTTAAAATCTAAACCGGTAGCATCCACTTGGCTGAACGTAGCAAGTAAAGAAACCACTGGCTTTGTTTGTCCACACCAATGCAGATACCAGAGACAAGAACAAAGTGTTAAATCTAGTTGACACATTCCCAACACACAATTTGATAAACCATCTGCCTAAAGAGTCCCAAGCAGCAAGTCTTTGGCCACCAATTAACAAAATGTAGCAAGGTGCCCACAAAGAGCCAGGCAGGTGAGGCCTGAAGCCATGGGCTGTCTTCAGAATTGTTCCCCCCTCAGAAGGTCTTACATCACAGCTCTAAGATGGAAAGAGCAACAGGAAACAAACACAAGTACAGGAAACTCTGAACTTAACTGGAGTTTCATCCAGCAACTTTTTTGAAGTTACATTTCTTATTTAAATCTGAGTTACTGGGAACTGAGATTAACACAACTAGAAACTGAGGAGATAAGCAAGGACAATAGCATCTATCAGAATTTGTGCTGTGGTAGCATCTGCCTCTCCTGAGAAGGACCTGTGCTTCTTCACCATGCCCCTCATCACATGTGTTAGATTGCCCCCAAACATTTGGAGGGGAAAAGAAAAAAGCTTCCCAAATAAAACCAAAACTCACTGAGCAGTCATCTGGAGCAGGAAATCAGCCTGATAGCATACATTTCTCAGACTTAAGCCTAAGTCAGTTTTTCTCCTTTCATGGACCTAAGAGTATAAACATGACTAAAGATCATTTTGGGGAAGTTTTCACTTGCAAGTATGCATAGATGAAAGAGTTATTCTTAGTCATCTTCTCCATGTCAAAAATAAACCCAGCCATTTCCAGAATGTGTCACAATACAATATTAACTGTGTATCTGCAGTCACTGAATCAGTGGACACTTAATGGCCTTAATTTAGAATATCTCTATTTTCTGGAAACAGTCTAGCCTCTGGTGCTGGAATACCCTGAACTACTAATACCACTTCTGAAGGAGTCAATCTGTCAGCATAAACACCTCTAAAACCAGTCCTGGTGACAAGCAAGCCAAACAGCATGCCTTCCCCCCCCCCCCCCTCCTTGGCAGCCTGGCTGCCAGACACAGAGCAGAGGCTGCATTTTCCAAATTTATGGCAAGTACACAAGGACTCTTCAAACAAAAAGAACTTGAAAAGGTATAGCAAAACAATTTGCTCTTATACAAAGTGCACACTGTAAGTGTATATTTTACAAGTACCTATGTATTATACATATACAAGCACGCCAGGCTGCCTGTACAGACACACAAAGCCATCCTCAGCCATCCTGTAACTCGCTGACGATGGACACAACACGAGAGCAAGCTGAAATAACAGAAGCGCCACATAGGAAGGCAGACCTCAATTTCAGTCACCTGACATCAACTTCATTTCAAGGGAATCAAAACACACCATGCTCCTAAGAAGTATGGTCTCTTCCAGTAGAAAGCCAGATTTCCTGCTGACACCAGGAGAATCCAACCCGGCTGAAGAACAGACACACGTTACCAAGGTCTCACAACAAATGTTACAGACACGTGGAAGAGTCCCAGTGGGAAATACATAGCATTTGAAAGTTTTCCCTTGAGTTTTCAAGATACTAATTATAAAATACCAGAGCAGTGAGACAGCTGGAGCAGATACAAGGTACGCGTTAAAAGAGGTGAAAGAGTTGCTAGCTGCTTTCTCAGCGAACGTGCTACACCTCTCATTTATGGCTTCCTGCACCCAAAAAGAAGGGCTCTCATCTCCACACTTCTCATGAGACAAGGTCAACATAAAATTTTAATTCCAAATACATAATACCTAAAATTTAATTAAAAATACCACCACAATATCAGACATTTCATACTGCTCTACATCTTCAGGTTAACAATAAGGCAACAAAGAACGGAAATGCAAAATTAAGAACTGAGTATTTCTTTTTCTTTCATCCTTTTTTTTTAAACATTTACAAAGCCACTGATGGATTTGCCCACATTTACAGACAAGGCAGGAAAAGTCAGGCCGCTTGCTGCAGACCACAGGGGAAGAAGAATTTGAATGTGGCATCCTTCAGTTTTCTGTTGGAACTTCATGCCTTCACTATGCATTATAAGCTGCACTTCCAGTTCCTTCTTCAAGTCATATGAAGAAAACAGCAGTTGCCAACATCAAGCAGCATTTTAAAAGCCTTCCCTATTAGGTATTAATTCAATATGTTTACTTAACATGAAGGGGTATTAACCCCTTAACGTGTTTTGCTGAAAGGCAAAATAGAAGGAAACACACAAGTGAACGTGCTGATACCTGGCAAATCAGCCCAGTCACAGAACAGCCTCTCAGCACACAGCCTTGCAGGAATCAAGATTCTGAGAAAGGACTGAAAATTTCTAAATCCAAGGCTTGAGCTGAAAAAACACCATTACACCAGTGCTACAAGTAGGTGTGCCCACCTCACAGCAGCTGATTTAAAGAATCCTGATGTCCCCCAGCAATTGTTGCTGGTGATCCCAGCACTGCACTGCTGCCACTGCAGACTGCTATCTGCCCCCAGGGGGAGGCAGCAGTGATAAGGAGGAGGTGGGGTGAGATTCAAGTCAGGAGAGCAAAGCTGCTAATTACTGCTCTGGGCAGCAAGTAAGAAGATACAAGGTACAAAGATAAAAACAGGGCTTGTTTTAAAGACAACTTCTTTCAAGCAGAGAATGGTAAAATTATTGTTCGTGTTTCCAGTTGATAAATAAGTGAAACATGACAAAAAGCAAGACTGAACATAAGACTTAGTCTGAGTAAGACTTGAATCAACCACGTGTTGAGCGTTAAGTGAGTCAGTGTAATTTTAATTCTCAAAACGTTTACTGACCTTATAATAGGCAGAAAAAAAAAAAAGAGCTTCCATATGATCTGTCCTCCAGAAAGAATAAAACCTGTAGTATTCAGTGAAAAAAAACAAGTATTTCAAAGTCATCAGACATGGGCAAACACGTATTTGAAGTGCTCATGTATATGATAAGAGACATGAATGCCAGTTGGTCATTGGATAATCTGTTTTCCACCCATGTAATATATTTAGCAACCAATATAGAATGGCGAAATGAAGGAAGCAAGATGCCCTCTTTTCTCCCTGATGAAGTACTTCATGAACATCAATTACATGTTAATATCCCTGGGAGGCAAGTGTGACAAGTCTTATTAAGCCGTTTTAAAGATTAGGACACTGAGTCACAGTGCCAGATTAAGAACTTCCTCAAAACCAACAGCAGAGTCAGAGGGGAGGGGGGGGGGGGAGGGGGGCAGCTGCACCCCAGTGCGGCCTGGGCAGCATAAAGCCACACTGCTACTCTGCCTTGTTACAAGAGTTGGAGTCTCTGAGGTGCACATACACACACACACACACACACATAAAAGCAAGAAAGGAAAAAAAAAAAAAAAAAAACCACAAAAAAAACCCACCCACACTCATATGCAGTTTCCTGGTTATGCCAGCATGCCTCAATTCTGACCTGCAGGGACCATCTTTAGATGCAAGAATGCAGTTTGGATTCCACGCTCAGATCGCGTTTTGGCTGAAAGCACCAAAAAGGTTGCCAATTGTAAACGGTTTTTCAAGTCAGCAGAGCCCTTCAGATCCTTCCCGATAAGCTAGTTAGGAGGGAACTGAAAACTTTTTGATACTGGATCAACCATATATGCCTGGGGCAAGCAAACCAGCAACCAGGAGTCCTCAAGCCAACTTACGGCCAGCTACGTGAATTCAAATCACACGCTGAATTTACACATCCAAAATGAAGCAAGGAACATAAGATAATTACTATTGTAGATTAAGGCATACTTCAAAGCACAGACGAAGACCCAGCAGATGCCATGTTCAATTAAACCAGAAGGTGCGCAGGGAGGGGTGTTGTTACGCTCATTAGTACACTCACCAGGACACGTCCAAACTAATAGCCCACTTCAGCGCCGCAACACGTTCGGAAAGCGTTTTCCTGCCTTAATCGCGGCATACTTACGAAGACACCACCAGTTTTCCTTCTTCTGCGTCTCCCTCCGACCGAGCGCGAGAGCCCCAGAGCTGCCCCGCCTGGCACCGCGCTCAGCCGCCCAACCAGCAGCCGACCGGCACCCTCCCGCACCCTGGCACTGCACGGTCCCAGGAGCTGCCAACGCCACCCGACAACCCAGCCCCTCCGCACCTGCTCCGCCCGCAGCGTGACCCTACCGCCGGTAGAGACGCCGCTCTGCACGCTGCCCGCCGCGCGGCACGGCTCGTCCCGGCTCTGCTGAGGCCGGGGCGGGGCCGGGGCGGGCGGAGGCGGGCCGGTAGCCCCAACCCCGTGCGAACCGCGCCGGGCGCCCCGCGCCTCCAGCAAGGTGCACGGACCCGCCGTGCGCAGCGGGAGCTTTGGCCGCGCCCCCTCGCGGCTCCGTGGGCCTGGGCCGCTCGGGCGCCCACCTGCGGGCTCGGGTCGGGATCCGCGTTCAGCTCGAGGGGTCTTTCCTCCTTTCCTCCTTTCCTCCTTCCCGCACCACGTGCGGACCGTCGTGAAGGCGGCACCTGTGAACTGGGGAAGTGGGAGGCCGTCGCTGCGTCCCGTGGATCGTGAAATGGGGAACTCAGAAATTACTTTCCTTTGTTTAGATTCGGTATTTGAGGAAGCTGAAGGCTTGTCATATATCAGAAAGATTTAACCTACGAGTACATGGAAAACTACTAGAAACAAAGGTCAGAATAGAGCTAATGCTACTTGTGCTACACTTGCTTGACTTTGATCAACACAACCATCTTGCTAATGTGGAAGTGAGGTTTCACAAAAAAGAAAGAATCCAGAAACGAGTAGGAGTCACTTCACGTGCTGCAGCAAGAAGGGGAAATGCTCTGCAGGCAAAGCACGTATCTGAACATTTAATAAAAAACCTCAGCGGACCATACAGTTCCTTGTAGGTAACTGACAGCACCCATAAATGCTTTGACATGTTCCTCACAGCCACCTACCCTGAGCGACTTGGGAGGTGCCTGCAGGAGCAGGACACTTGGCTCTGACGGTAGGAGCTGCCTGACCTATTTCACATTTGCTTGCCCTGAGCCTGGGAGAACATAGGGAGAAAACAGTATGAGGAGCAGTGGCCCTGCTCATCCACACACAGCCTGGTGACCTGCAGTCTGTAAGGAGCTGAGCATTTAGCCAACCCTGTGAAATCATTTGTCAGCATCAGGGTACTTTGCACAACAAAACTTCTCTCATTTGGGTTGAAATTTGTCTTCTAGCTTCGTGAGTCTTGCTTGGCTGAACTTAGCTTTTATTCGGTCATTAACTTTTGAGTTGCAGTATGTTTATCTGGCTTATTTAACTTTGGGAGAGTATGTGTACTTTTTTCCTTAAAGTGATAAAAGTAAAGCAACAACAACAAAAGAGAAGGTACATCTCATCATCCCGTTATCAGAAAGAGTGCAGATCTTCAGCAGCCTTGAGGAAAACAAGAACAAACAGTGAGAAAACTCTCTTGGCAAACTTTCAGAAAAGGTAATCTGTAGTTAGCAGAGAGTGGGTGTGTAGTAAAGAAATGGTATCAGCCTGACTGAAAGCATTCCTAGCTTCAGTCCAGCATTGAGAGCCACGTGGAAGAAAGTTTCCTCCACAGAGAACCCAGAAAATACAAAGTCAAACTTAATTTAACCCCTCCTGGAAAATATTCTACAACTTCCTTCTTTAGGAAGGATGCTTACAGCACTGACCTCCTGTGTATCTCTTCACCTTTAACAGGTCTCCTCTTCCCTCCACTCACGTCAGAAGATTCTCAGCATAAAGTAACCATCTCCTGCCAAATGCCTCCAGGATGTGTCAGCACACCCTGAAGAATGGAGGCATGTAGGGGGCTGCCTGCACCAGGGACTTGCTATTCTAATGACCACGCTCTGCGTGTCTGCTGTTTAAATACTTGGCCTTTGAAAATGGCCAGAAGATGAACATATGCTTCATGCTTACTGATTTTAATTCTAATCATAAACATCTTTTTATGTTTCATGAGATATTACTTAATTGGACTTAAGAAATTTTTTATTCACAGTCTCACCCACCTCTTTCCAAAGGAAAACATAGCTTAGATACAGTCTAATCTCACTGACTAAAGCTTAGTTTAGTAAATACTAATCAAGAGCTACAAATCTGCCATTACATGTGTTTCTGTTGACTACTGTAGTCCAACCTCACTTAAATGAAGTGCAGGACATACAACCATTAAGGGTTTCCTTCCCTAGGTGCTCCAGGGCCTCCCCTTCCAGCCAAACCAAGTTCCAAACCCAGTATTTTTAACAGCACAGCTGCTTTGTACATTTTTTTTTGTTCACTCTTGGCTGTTCACCCCCTTTTAAAGGATAGGAGTAAGAATAGTCTTTATGAAAAACAATCCAGCCTTATCAACTCATAAAGCTATGCCTGCTAACTGCTGTGGGATGTTCATCCCCTCACTGTGGCTTATTATATAAAGCACTCTCCTTCCTGACATGTGCAAGCCTATCTATTCAAATTCTTGTAAATATAATACTATCTACATATCCAACACAATAAAAGTCCTTCTTGTGGTATTTAAATGTTCTGTCTGATCTTTTCTAATTAATTATGGATTTCTTCAAAGTTAACTCTTACTTTTTTAAACAAAAGAGATGCTCTGGTCGTTAGTGTTGCAGCCCATGTCTCGGGAGACTGTGCTCAATTCATTTCCCCACCACTCACCCCCTTTATGCCTTTGAGCAAGTCCAGCATGTACATTGAGTATATTGGTTTGTGGTCTATAGAGTAAGGTAATAAGACTACTTCATGAAGGCTCATGAGGGTGAAATGCTTGTATGAAGTTAAAAACCTTGACACTTTATTACATCCCATAATAGGGCACTATTGGTAGTGTAAATGGTTTCCTGCTCATAGTTTGAAGTTTGTCATCATATTCATCTCTGGTGAGAATCAGTAGTTACATACAAATTTTCACGTCTTCTCTTTCAGTAATACTGTGGAGTTTTGTTTTTGTTTTTAAATGAACACATGAAGCCATTAGAGTGGTTCTCTTAAAGGAATTTTGCTTTACAGATGATGGGAAGCAGATCTAAGGAAAGGAAACTAATTTCTTTATGTGGGAGCATGATTTTCCAGGAGCGTGGAATAGCTGGATTTTCTTACCACATGTGCAGGAAATAGCCCTTCCTACCCGAGCCTGAATGTGTCAGATAATGCCCTTAATGAAATGACTCCAGTGTGAGACGCCTTATAAGCAGCATCTCTGCTCAAGTTTCTAAACACATTAGCAGATTAATACTTGTCTATTGAGGCAGAGTTTAAAAACTGTTCACTGGTAAGCAGTGAATATTTAAACTGTTCCACAGGATCCTTGCTACTTAATTAAAAACAACAACAACAACAACACCCCAACAAAACCAGAAACAAAAGCACAACAGAGAGAAGTACCAATAGAACACACCTAACTAATTTTCTAGCCTTCTTCCCACAGTCAACAGCAAGTTCATGAACTAGGGAAGATGAGAGATGAGTCTTTTATCCTCCAACACCATCCCTGGTGTTGTGTTTGTTAGGTTGGTTGGGTTTGTTTTTGTTTCCATACGTGAATGTTTTCTCTGATATTTTCATAGAAAGGAAACAAAGTTTGTCTGATACACTTTACAGATACAAATCTAGGAAATTTCACTTTTTGAATAACATCTCTTTGCTGATTAAATCTCCCTGAAGCTAGAATGGATTTTACTGACGCAGAATTATTAATCATACAAAATCTGAGCACAGAATAACCTCTTGCTTCTCATATAATTCTGAATTAACTGATTCTTAGACACTTTGGTAACTGCAATCTGTCTGCAACTAGCCAGCACAAGCCTCTTCAAAATATTCAGCTCATGAATCTAGAAGTTTTTTATCTGAAAGCAGAAGAATGAGCCTAGCGCTCTCTAAGATAGCTCTGATTTTCATAAGGAATAGAGTTATCATAGAACCCCACACTTTTCCTTCATCTGCACTTCCATGTCAGACACCATCTTGTGAGAGTGCCCTTCTGCTGCCATCTGCCACAGCACCAACACGTAATGGAGTGCTGGTGAGGGAGTTCACCTCTACTGCTGTGCCACCAACATCTGCCTTTGACGCTGTGGGCTAATGTAATAAAAGGAGGCATCACTTTCAGAGCAGCCATCATATAAACAGTTGCATTTTTTTCCTTTTTCTGTCCTTTTAAAATATTTAGTCATCCAAAGGGAAGGGGTATATTTGGATGCTTTCCCTCAGGAATATGATATTTATTTTATTTTATTTTATTTATTTGATTTTATTAATGCCAAATCATCTATACTCTAAAGGCTTTAGTCTGCAGATATTTTATATTTTTATTTCTGACATTTGAGTTTCTGGGCTCAAATGCAGTTTTGATTCTGCTGTGTTTCACAGAAATCACTACTCTGAGAAATGCATATGAAAGAATATAAAAGGCATAGATGTATTTATCCTCCCGTTGAACATCTCACTGATGTAACAGAAATTAGAGAGGAAAGGATCAAGTAATTAAACATGGTTTTGTGTGGATTCCAGTATGCTTTGGACCAGACCACATTTTCCTAGCTAGTCCTCGCAGCTGTGCTGCCTCCAGTTCTGCTGACAAATGAATCTCTCTAAAACTAACCAACCAAGCTCAACAAAGCTGATAAGATTTCCTTCCTGCACTGCTGTGCTAACACCTTTCCTGAAATATATTCTCAGTTCAGTCATACTCAATTTCAGATTAAGACTCTGCAGTGCAAAATGAAACTTAAATGTTAATTAGAATGATAAAGAAATTTAAGTTAATACACAGTCTTCCAAGCCAAATGATTGCAGGCTGTGTACAGATGGTAAATAAACTCTGCTTTGCTGGTGTGCTAAAACATCTGCATGAGCTGGTAACCATCAGCTACTTAGAAGATGTCACACTGCTAAGTAGCCAGCTGGTTTGCTTTAGAGTATATCAGGAGGAAAATAAACATGCATGTGATAAAAGATTTAGGGGGAATTGAAAAAAAAACAAAACACAGTAAGAAATAGCAAACAAACAAACAAATTAAAATCCCCAAAACCATAGAAGAAGTGAGTGCTTGTCATGCACTCACATGAAAA